AGGGTGTGATTTTGGTACAGTTGGCGTCTGATTTTGACTTTGGGCGAAATCAAAATCAAAGATTTGCTGTTTCGGCCAGTTGCCCTCAGGGCATGCAACCGTCACCCAGAATCGCCAACTACCCAGCTGGAAGCCACCGGCGCAAACTACAAGAGGCTAGCAGTGCACTTATCCCATTCCAGCCGAGCACCAGACCAAGGAGTAGTTTTCTGGTGCTTCCTGGCTTGGCCCTTTTATTTGGTTGAAGCACATCAAAAAGGAAACTCGCCAGCATATTCGGGTGGCCTATTTTGGGGCACCTGGATCAAAGCTGACACCACAGATGTTCACCAAACACAAGGGACTACAGGTACTTTTTTCACCTTCAGCATGACTGTAGCTCTAAACTATGATAATTTGTTTTGCCTCTTGTGTTCACTCAGATCCCCACTGGAGGTCCAGCCCGGCTTGAGCTGCAGCTCAACCCCGCCCCATCAGCTCTTGTGAGCGAACAGCTGTGCCCCGTCCACTAGGAACCCATGGGAAAGGGACACGTCTGGATTGAAAAAGGAAGCAGACACGGCGAATCTCAAGCCTGGGTTTCCCATAAGCCTGGGCCAGTCTTAGACCAAAAACGGCATGATAACAACCAACTGCCTGTGTGTGTGAAACCCAGAATTTCTGTTTGGGCTCCTGTCGAAGCTTTGCCAGCAGGGCTGAGTGTCGTTTGGATGCTGACATCTAGAGGAGGCCCTGTTCTGACAATCATGTCCATCCTAGAAGGAATACAACAAATCCAAGCCTTCGACATCGCGATGTTGCTTCCAATTTCCGATTTTAATTGAAGCACCTCGCAATCAATCAGAAAGCGGGTCCGTCTCCAATTCCAAGAACTCAAATGGAACCGAAAGCCACTGAGGCCTTGTCTGAAATGGGTACGGTATGTGACAAAATCGGAGTGCCCCCAAGAATGATTGGATTCCTTTGGGCTTTCTTTTAAATCAACGCAAAAAGAAAACCTCAAAAGGCACAACCCTGCAGCCCGGCGGCGCGCTGATCGCTGAGTAGGGCGAGCGCCAGTCCTGGGGGGTGGGGACTCGTTTTGGGAGGCACCCAAGAGGAGGCAGAACATGGATGTGAATAATCTGAAGGGGTTGCGACAAGAAAGACGGACGATTTTAAAGGGCTTGCAGAAGGAAAGACGGGGAAGTGCACCACACTGATCAAAACATGGGAATGCACTTTGAAGGGTTGGCAAACGGGGGAACAGGAACCACACTGACGGAAGTAACCTGGCAGATTCCAAGATTGGGGTGGGAGGGCCATTAAAGCTGAAACCCTTGCCTCGTTTTGGGACACACCCTCAGCTTTACGGCAACCAAACAACACCCGGAGGCGGTGGTATGAAAACGGCGCAAGCTGGGGGACCTTCCCCATGTTTGCGCAACCCGGGATGATTGTAGCCCTTCTCAAAAAGAGTCCCACAGACCCTACCCGGTTCATCGAAAAGCCAACAACACCCCACCCCAAGCAGCAGGCGGTGCAAAAACATCTCGCCCTGTCCGTGTGCTCCCGGATCATCGGGGTCATCTGCCGCTGCAGCGGCGGAAGCACAAAGCCTCGCGCGGCCGAGGCGCGTATGGCAAGAAGGCAAGGAGTGGGTCATTCTTGTGCGGCAAATGGGGGCGCTTTCTTGGGAGTTGGTACCCCTTGTTTCGTGGGTTTAAGGTAAACCGAAAGGAAAACACACGGTCTCCTAAAAAAAGACACCCCCAAATACGCATCAGGGATGTCTGTGCCAAGACCAAGGCATCTTGTCAATGAGAGAACCGAGCATGCCAGCTGGGAAACATCCTCCACTACGGCGAAGAACGCCCTCGCCCCTCAACACTGTCAAACCCTCCACAGAGTGTTCAAGTACCCCGTCTTTGGGCGACCTCAAAGGAGTTCCAACAAATGGGTTCCAGGATGCAAAACTGTCATGTGATGCAAGCTGGAACACAACATTTTTGGAACACATGATTCGCACAGGCGACAATACCCTCAAATTCACAGTGGCTACGTCTGCTCTCGAGTGCCATCTGCACTCTTCGGCCCTCATCCCTCAGTCCCACTGTCTTTGATGATCCCCTGAATTTGCAAGTGCACGAACGACGCACATATCACTTGCACTATCTGGTTGCACCTCCTACCCCACGAGGCACACATGGTGTTTGCATTCGTTTTTAGTGGGTCGTCCCAGTTTCAGTGGAAACCCAAATGTCTTGGTCTCCCATTAAGATTAATTACAGACTCATTCAACGCCGACCTATAGTTGCCCAACCCCATTAGCTTCGCCTCAAAATACAAGCTCTCATTGCGGGTCCAAACAAACCCGAAAAGCAACCAGTACTGTTAAGACTCCAGAAAATGGGGGGAGCAGAGTTCAACCGACATTTCGGGGCCTGGGGCGTCCTTTAACATTGGTTTCCCTGCCGCCCCTCGGCTCAGCTCCGGTCCGCCTGGTTCCGCTCCCTTCGCCTTGAACAGCGCGAAGCCGGCGCTGCTCAGGGCGAAGCCCTGGCTGAGCTTGGGATTGGAGGTGGAGCCGTGGAGCACTGGGTTCTGTTCCGCCGGGGGTGGTTTGACCAACATATGCATGGGTGTGGGTCAAAATTAAACCACAAGGGGACCGCAAGTTTTACTCCATCTTTACAATTACCAGGGTTCCATTTTGGGTACATATTTTTGACCCACCGCCATATACACAAAGAATAACAATCCGATAAATGCCGCTAAGACCCCCACACGCATGTTTGTTCCTCCAAACGAACCGTCGCAAACACGGCAAGAATCAACCCATGAAACCAAGGGCGGACCAAAGAAATGCCAGTTTGTTTATCCACAACCCCCATCCTTCCAAAACCTTCCAGGACCCTCCGAACCGCGGGAGATTCCGCCCGGACGGACGGATGCGGCCGACGCCTTCACCAGGGGGCGGGGGGCCATGCGTGGCAGCACTGACAAGTCGCCCTCGGAGAAGGAGCCCAGCAGCTGGCGGTTGATGCCTGGCGCGGGATTTGGACCCAAAAGAAACTTCTTTCGACGTCCCGCGTGTCGTTTCAGTACGCGTACCGATGTCTAGAAAAAGAAGAAGAAAAAAAAGACGGGCTCTTTCGGAGATGTCGACTCTTTTGGAGATGGGCAACATGTAAACTATGTTACTCGCATGGCGCCGATTTGTTTTGGTTGGTATCCTACCTGTTTTGTTAAAAGGGAAGCCAAGAGGAAGACCGAATTCCACGTGGACGCGATTGTTTGTGAGTTGGTGCCTGTTTGAAGGTTGAGGGTTGGTTCCAAGAGAAAAACCCCGAACAAAACGTTCCTCTCCAAAAAAGCTGGAGAAGTTGCCCAGAAAACAACCAACTGGCAACATCTCTCCATGTACCTGCCTTCGAGGGCCTGGGCGGAGAACCCAGCAAGCCGCAGCTCCATTAGGCTATACCCGCCTCAGCGAGCGATACGCAGATGTGGGTGGCTCGTCTTTTTTGGACTTTGTGCCCGCCGTTGTTTGGTGGTAAAGGGAAACCAAGAGCCAAAGCCATGTTGAGTGGGGTCCCCCAAAAAGACACACCCTTGTCCTCTGTGACATCAACGTGACCCGTTCTTTTCGGATACACCTTGTCCTTTGGTGCAAGCTGGAAGGGTCCCGTTTTTGTGTCCGCAGCATCGTGCTTTTTGCCATACCCTCGTGGTTCGGAATTGGTGAAGAAAGTCAAATAGCTACCTTTGCGTGTCTGTCTCCTAGTTCTGGCAAGACTCCCCAAATGAACCCCTCAACTGCCCATCCTCTCATCGTGGCCACCAAGTATATGAGAACAAATATCTGGGCAAATTGTGCCTAGACCAGTAACAGACTTGAATGTTCCGAAGTGTACGCAAACAATTGCCATGCCCAGCGCACTCCCAGCTAAAGATGAAGACACAAGTTGCAGGTAGCAAGCGGCAGACACGGATCACATACCTCAGAAGCTTCGGGTCCGAGCTGCCGCTGCGGAGGTCCATGAGAGGCACACCTCCTGCGGGGCTGGAGGGGAAGGGGGAGCGGGGCGCCACTTGGCAACTGGCAGCTTGCTACCATCCCCTCATCTCCCTGCAGGCAACCGGGACCTGAGGCTGTCCCGTGATGAAAGGAAAGGGTGGTGTGCTCAGGAGACATATGGCCATGGGTCACAATCCCGTACCCCCAGTGAACATCCCAATCCCCACTAAAATAGACTAAAATGGGTGGTGCACCTACCCCAAAATGGTACCATTGGTTGTGACCCACAGCCTTGTCGTTTTGTGTCTTTGGGCTCTCTTTAGCCCCCTGTCAAAGGGAAACCACAGCTCCGGCATGGAAACCCGCTGGATTCCCGCAATCTTAAGAAGCACCCACATGGGCGAGAAAACAAACAAAAAAAAGCTCGCACGGCAGGGTCTTTCTTCCCCAAACGCCTTTGCGGCTTTCTTTCTTCCCCAAGACTGCCTCGACCATCTCTCGTCCAACGGCGGACGGCTCCTTGCTTCAGCTCCTTGGCCGAAAACCCGGCGCGCCGCAGCTCCAGCGCCGAAAAGCCGCCCTCCTGCCAGGCGGAGCGCGTCAACGCGGCTTCGGCTCGTGACCCCCCCAAAAAAAAAAAAAACGGGCAGGGGCCGTAGGATACGGAAGCCCCGCAACTCAAATTGGATGAAGGGACCCTCCTTGAAAACATGCAAATATGCGCTACCCTGCATGGACGAGGGCGGTTGGAAGCAAATCTCGAAGGGATATTTTCGTCATATCAGCTGGCAAGAAGTAGAAACCGAACTACTCAGAAACAAACGAAACCTGCGAGACTCAGGTCAGAGACATACAAACAGCATATAAGCAGATGCTGCAGACTATCTGCTTACAGTATTCAGGTCAGCAATAGTGGAGGGTTTTTGTGCCACCGTGTCAAACCTGGGCGGCATATTCAGTCGTCGGCATCCGTCATCCTGACACTGCTGGCAGTGCATTCTCTTTCAGAACCTTGGCATGTCTTGACTTGTAAGCATCCTCGGCATCACACACGTCCGCGTCACATCACCCCCAGTATCACCAGCATCCACAGAATCCTTGGCAATCATCATCCATCATCCTCGCCGTCCTGGCATCGCCGTGCTGGCAACCCTCCCGTCATCCCAAGCTTCCGCATACCAGCAACTTGTCAACTGCATTTCCGAAAGTGAATGGCGGAAGCAGGCAATACGGCCCTGAGTTGCCATCTGCAGCGCCACTCGCAACTCTGACAGCTGTGATCCTTGCAGCATCTTGGTCTTCTGCAGCTGTATCCCCAGCATCTCAAGCATCACCATCATTTCCAGCATCCTGATCAAATGAAGGAACTCGCATCCCCAGCATCACGAGTATCCCCAGCGTCGCAAGTATCCACAGCATCTGCAGCACTTTCAGCATCATCAGCATTGTTAGCATCCTGAGCACCCCTGCATCCGCAGCTTCATCAGCAGCTTCCCTGTCAGTGCTTCGAGATCAGTCAGTTCTCCCTGTTCCATTGACCACCAGAAAATGACACCCTCCTTTTTGCCAGCTTTTGTTTTTGTTCTGACTGTGCTCTAACGCCCAAGGGAGAATTGGTTTAAGCAAGTGAATAAATGCGGTCATGATTGGTGCATGAAATCATGGTGGGACCAGGACCAAGTACCATCATATCTCCATACATCCCATTCGATGGACGGCACCCCCAGAAATGATAACCAGACAAATTGTAATACCAGCTCTGAAACCGACATGTGCTGCCTCACGACATGGAGGATCTCATGTCCTTTGAATGACCTGTTCAAATCTGAACAAGAAATCCTCAGTTTCAACGTCCACGTCTGGTTCGTTCGCCCTGTCCAACCTGTTTAGCCAGCCTCATGCACCCAGGGGGGTTCTAGGTTGAGCGAAAAAGATCAGATCATATTGGAAATCCTCGGGTTTCGGTTCCTGAGTTAGGGAGAAATCAAGCGTAGTTCTCTCGTTCCATCTTTCACCCAACTGCAAACGTTTCACAGGAGTTGGCAGGAGGGAGGGCATCAAACATGTTGTCAAACCCTGATTTACACCGCCCCCCCTCTCTTTAAATCAGGGGTCCCAGTTTTCCGAGAAGCAAGGAATCCCACTGAAAAGAGAACCCTGATTCATGACTGGGCAGTTCATTGGGGCAAAACCTGAGGAAAGCAGCCCCAAACCAGCCGCTCCAAAAAAATAAGGCCTGGTTTACGCTGCTGTGCCGATATGCTGGCCCGCCTTTCAGCAAAAACTGAAGCAGACGCTAAAACCATGAGTGGAAATCATGCCAAAACCGTCTTGTCCTGGTTAAATTCAAGGCTTGAAGAAAACAAATGCAAAGCGATCCCAACGACGAGGCTTTTCGGGACCAGAGGTTGGGACTCCTTGTGCAGCGCGGCGATGGAAATCCCAGCGCTCTTGAGGTCCTGAACCCCGGTCAGGCCAAGTGGGTGTGTCGTTTAGGGAACCCCAAAATGGCGCAACAGTTGACCTTTAACACCACCACAGCCGCGAAGGCCAATGCTGGGGGGTTGAGTGGGTGGTCTGCCTGCGATAGTGGGGACAGGTGTCCCGTTTAACTGAAACAAACCATCCATTGAAACCACCGAGCTGACAAAAAAAAGGACACCTGGTGGGCACTGAGAGTCATTTTCAAAAAGTCAAAAGGGTGAAAGGTCGAAGCAAAGAGCAGCCGACTATCGACTTCCCGAACAAGTGCAGCAGAAAAGGTTGACATTTCACCCCGCGGGATTTTACGGGTGCCCCGAATTTCGCATTGCGATCCCCTTTCAAAATTTGTCGTACTGAGCAAATCTCTTTCCCGCGGATCACGCCCTGCCTCCAGGGTGAAGCCCGATTGCTGCAGCTCCTCAGCGCAAAACGAACGGCTGAGTACCTTCCTCCGGATGGCGGAGGTTTGGAAAACAGCGGCCCCAAAAGGTTGAGCTTCATGCTTGGACTTGAAGCAAAACAGCCAGTCAAAGAATCACTATGGCGAATCAAAAAAGGCATCCATGAGTGGTTGTCGAAATGAACGTCAGGCGCCGGTCAAGGCGGGCCGGTGCAAAACTGAAAAAGGGGACAAAGTCCAAAGCGTTTCTTTGAAAACGAGTCTTTTGATGGTCCACTGCAGCCAACGTGGCTTGCAAACTAACCAAAACCGAAGCTAAAAAGGGGACCAATGTGGCACCCATGGGGCCGGAGCAAAAACGGTTCACCTAAGCTCGCGACAAATCACAGGGACATCTGAGAAATTCACCAGCGCTGGAATGGACCAATCAAAGTGGGATCCCACTTGTTTGAAGCAAAATGGGATTGGACCTTCCTTGTTGGATTTATTGGAAGGCGGAAACCAAATTTGCTTCGCCATGACTGAGACTTAAGCCAAAGGGATCAAGCACGCTCCATTCAACTCAAGACAAACTCTGGGCCGCTGTCAAAGGACCACGGAAAGCACATATTCACGCCACTGACTCTACTTCCCCAAAACAATATGCTTATCAAAATGACCGGGTATCTTCTTTCACCCTCGCTCCCCTGAATTTTAATCTGGAAACTGATCATGCACCTTTTTTCTTGGAAGTGGGACACCGGCCGACCACATCTGCCAGGGCTGGATTTCCGCTACCCTAACCCTCCCAACCCCCCTTCCCCAAGCTCCCCGAAACCCCCCAAACCCCGCCAAACCCCAAACCACCCTGGCATCCTCCACGGTGAACTGCTCCTCCAGCCACAGCTGCTGGCAGTCCAACTCGCCCCCCGACAGGTCCCGAAACTTCTGGAGTCCCCGAACCCTGCGGCGGCAAAAGTGGCTGAAGTTGCACCAAAAAAAAGAACTGCCAAAAAGTGAAACGTCTTGCTGGCTGGTGCTGAAAAGGTTGTTTTGCACAAGGTTGAAAAAGTCTGAGACCTTAAAGACTGATGCATGATCGTATTCTAAGCAAGCAACATCGTGTCTCAGCAACCACCTAAACCTGACTACGAATAGGTTGATGTTTCCTACGGATTAGTTTTCAGACGCGCGCGCCCGCACATCTGCAACGGTTGCCTGCAGATCCCCTATTGAGCACCGTTCCCGTCCGCAACAAATCGTTCGTCTCCTGCAGGCTTCAGCTTGCACACTAAAAGAAAAAGCACCCCCAGGACCGCGCTGATTGATGCGTAGCAGGACCTTGGATCTTTGCCGCATTCCCTGTGCGATCAATTCGCGGTCCGTTCAGTCGAAGAAATGCTTGCTTGTTGCTTGTCGTCTTCAAAGTGGAGATCATCTTTGGTGCATACGCAGGTAATTTGCACTTGATGTTCTCATCTCCTGTGCAGCTATTGTATAAGCAAACAATATGTCGGTAGGAAGGACACTCGGGCCAAAAACATCCAACCCAAAGCAGACCTGGCCCTCTTTCTTTCAAAAGAACACGGCTTCTCTGTCTTTGAGTTGCTCAATCAGATATAGTGTTTCTGCAAGGTAAGTTGGGAAATCACATTTGGGGGACCCGGATCACATTTGAGGCCGCCTTGTTTCAAAGTGGGGTTCCAAAGATCCGCCGGCCGTGCCAACGCGCCTTTGTACCTCGGGCAAAATGCAAACCGACCAAATCCCCATCGAAAAAAATCCCCAAACGGAGGTGGCAAAATCAAAACGGCTTTCCCATTCCCCGTGCTCTCACCTACCTCGCAGCCTAATTTTTACCTTTCGGCGCCCAAGATGCGACGGCTCCGAGCCCCGACGGCTCGCCTCACGATCATCACGCAGAACTCGGCGAAGTCCATCAGCCCGGAGCCGTCCGTGTCGAAGTACTGGAAGAACTCCTGCCATTTCTGCGGCTTCGGCATCCAAGTCTGCGCACAAAACGAGTTTGGGCATCCGTGTTGGAAGGGCTGAATTCGTGGAGGAAAAGGGCCACGTGACTTAAGCCAAATCCTCCTAGGGTCTGAAAAGGTGGGCAGAAAAAATGGTTTTGGAAGAAGTGGGTTGTTTAGTCCAAATCAAGTCCAGCTGGGGCCAAGGGATCTTATCGTTGGCAAATCCACAACTGTCGATCGTGGGTTGGCTGTTGCGGAAAATATATGCAGTCCCTTTTTTGCATCTCGGTTCAGCCCAACGGAACAAAGCCAACCCTAGTGTCAACGCCAGGATCGTCATGGCGATTTGGGATGTTGGCTCTGAACAGGCATGGGCTGCTCCAATTGGGAAACCTGGCCGTCTTTGGATGTACCAACTTTCTATGGTCGGAGGCCTTGAGTCAACGGAATCAATGGACCAACCATGGCAAGAAACGCTGGAAACGATGCAGTATCAAACCCTACCTCGTCGGAAGATGTCAAGGAAAGACAAACAATTCAGAAAGACCGCCCCTTTGACTCACCAGAAGGGGTGCTGCCGGATTGTCGGCTCCGTCAGCTGCTGCTTGCCCAGGACTGCTCCCATGCGCCGCAGGATCTTGTCCAAGTCCTTCTTGGTGAGACCACCTCGGGGCGGTCTCAGGGCCATCTAGCTGCGAGGTTAAAACCGTTGCTCTTTAGTTTCACAGGGGTCACTGGATGTCGTCACAAGTTGATCTATTATCCACGGTGCCAATGCCATCTGCAAAGGCTGCCACTGGTTGGGAATGTGACCTTCAACATTGCAACCAAAAGGTGATATGTGGGGTAAACTCTGAACGCATTCTCTCCCCTAAACCATATCTAAGAGGCACTTCGACACTCTTGGCTTTACAAGCACGAAAGAGCGCCCTGTCTCTCCTCAAAATGTGTAAAACGGCAGCTCAAACGAACAGGGAAGCCACAAAATTGGTGCTTCTTCTTCTTCTTCTTTGGTTTCCTGACCAGGGGGTACCCTCAATCCCCCGGACCGAGCGTCTCTGACCCTTCCGCTCAGTGGTGTGCTTGAAGATGCGCCGATACTCTGCCACCTCGTCAGACTGCAAATACCTCGGGCACCGCCAGCCGAAAGGGTCTAAGCCGGAGATGCGGGGATTCCTTGTCCACTAGTGTCCTCTTTGGGTCTCTGTCGGGTCTCTCGGGGGTGTGGGAAGCTCAAAGCCGACTCCTTGCACCGCTTCCAGGATATTTCATCCTCATGGACTCATGGGGCCCAACGCCTCTGCCAGTGCTGTCCGCCAAGACACTCGCGGTAGTTGACCAATTTGCCTCAGGCCCCAAGATCCTACCGGCGACTGCCTGTACCCGGGAATCCTGACGTGAGAAAAGCAATAAAGTGAAAAGTAGAGAGAGGCTCATGCCTGGATGAAAGCCAAGAATGGATCTGCCACATGTGCGAGATCGGCAACACATCAAGACGTCTTAGGCGACGGCAACCCGGGCCACCAACTAGAAGTAAGGCCAAGGATCAAACCTGACAAGCTGGTTCCGGCACAGTGCCTGCTGTTCTTGGGCTTCAGGAACTCGAGTGATTATGTGGGGATGTCTTGAAACGGTTAGCGGTTTGGGTAGTCAAAGGAAAAACAAAGCAAGCATCTGCATGAATTCCTGTTCACAGACCGGAAATCAGGGGTTCCCAATGTGAAGAACATCAGTGAGAATGCTGCTTCAGGAACAACCCCAAGATTCCTAACCTGGATCGCCTGGACGCCGCTTCAAGCACCTGCGCGCCCAAGTGCGCCAAGCCTTGAATAAAGCTGGTCAATGGCGGACGTTTGCGATTACCAAACCCTTCAAAAAGCCAAGACAATACTAGTGGTACTGCAGGTCTGCGCAAGTGACAGGACGCCTGTATAGCAGCTTTTGCGTGATCCCAAGAAGAAACAACCAAAAACGATGGCCAAAAAAGGCAAACAACAAAGACAAACATATATATATATATATATGTATATACACACACAAACACAAACACAAGCACAAGCACAAGAGCAAGCACAAGCACACACACACACACACAAACACACACACACACACACACACACACACACACACACACACACACACACACACACACACACACACACACACACACCACACACACACGCACACACACACCACACACGCACGCACGCACGCACGCACGCACGCACGCGCGGCGCGCGCACGCGCGCACGCACGCACGCACGCACGCACGCACGCACGCACGCACGCACCCACGCACCCACCCACACACACACACACCCACCCACGCACGCACGCACGCACGCACGCACGCACGCACGCACGCACGCACGCACGCACGCACGCACGCACGCACGCACGCACGCACACACGCACGCACCCACACACACACACACACACTTTTTTCGACTCTCGAAGGAGAGATCTCATCTTCCGAGTACAACCGGTAAGTTTCGAGTGGGAGGATTTTCGGCTCGCAAGACACTTGGCTTCTCTTTAGTGTCGAACACGTTACAAGCAAAAACAACGGGCCAAAGGGACTTTTTATCACCGGCAGGTACACAGAGCTGATCAGGCTCTGCTTCCCGTGCAATCAGGTAGCTTCGTTGGACGTGGTCCCTGATTGCACGCCACGCCCCCCTACTGAGATTACAAGGTTGGTGACAGGGTAATTCTGTCACTCCGCGCACACACGCACACACACACACAGACAAGCCTTCTCTCACCCCTGCACGCATGCGGCCCCAACGAAAGACTGAACAGACTGAACGCGGCGCGTGCTTTGGTGAGCACCGCAAAGCCGGAGCAGAGCTGGTGAAAGTTGATGTGCCCCAGGCCGCGGGGGTCCACCTCGCGATCATATGGATATGGGTGTATGGTGCTTTTCTTGTTAATAAGGCACTTTTGGGTGTGGTGTTAAAGGGAAAACTGAAGGATCCCCCCCCCTCCCCCCCCGTTTATTTGGAGGGTCCTGGACCCGTCAAAGCCCGGCCTCTGCCAACACATCCTCGTAGTCCTGGCGCGTGGCGCGCTGCTCCGCGGGCGTCTTCGGGGTCCAGTACGCGAGGCGCTCCACGATGGAGATGAAGCTGTCCAGGCCGATGAACCCTGCGATCCGCTACGCGGCTCATTCAGAGGGGGGAGCCGGGGGGGGGGGGTACTTGGACGGGCGGGTGAAACATCAAAAGCCCGAAACAAGGTCGCTTGACGGCTTTTTTGTTTCCTTTTCTTTCCAGGAAACCCTTTTCAACTTGGTTGGGCAAACCAGCCCTTTGGCGGATCCCCCAACTTTAACGCATACTCAATCGAAAGGGTTTACAAGGCGTTAACTGGGGTGACTAACCACTTGCCAACTCCCGCAGACGAGGCCCCCCACGTTTCCCGAACCCAGATTGGGAACATTCAAACATGGGGCCTGTTGGTGCCACGGAACTGGTTAAAAGGAACAGGGGAATGTGAGAGGTGTTGTTTCATTACACACCAACAAAATGTGACTAAATCTGAAAAGTAGCCCCCGCATGTGTTTGTTTGTTCAGCCCTTGCACCCTTTCAAGATGTCAGCTTTTCAGACCTTGCACCCTTTGAAAACAACCAAAGAAACAATCAAACAAACAAACAAACAAAC